GTATAGCAAATCCAGCTTTGCTTCATCGGCAATCCCATCGCAGAATGTGATATTAAAAAATGCTTGCCTTCCTTGAAATTTTCGTCTGTCCTGTGACCTAAGAATACTCGTGGCAATGTGGCGTAGTGGTTAACGTCTGGGGATTATATGCAGCACTGCTACGGTTCGAGTCCCGCTGGAAATGTTGATAAGACCTAGGCAAGGTCAAAACTGCAGTCCACGATGCATGAGAATATCTTTTGGGAAAACGAAGCTATTTAAAATTCAATGGAAGTCTAATCTTACCATTGTAGGAAAAATTCAACTAACAGTCCCCTTATCGCCTTACACGAATACAGGATGATATAGGGTGAATAGGAATATAGAGTGAGTATACTAAATACCAGTATTTTTGAAAGCCTACTTACAAACGAACAATTAGACAAACGTCGATGAAATTAACGAAGATCGTTTGTTAAATACTTGTTTGTAAAGATGAATGAAGAAGAGGGTAAGATGGAAAAAGTAAGCTGGAGCGAATGAACCAAAAGCAGCATTGATAAAGTTGTCTATCATGAGTTGAGAACGCTAAAGAATATGACGTTTTGGAGGCCCGACGAGCATATGTGTCATTGATTTGAAGTTAATGAAGCGGCAAAGTCTCTATGCTTTTAAGGAGCAAGTGCAGTGCTGTAGATGTTGAAGCAACGAAACTGTGGTTGGAAATGGACGCTGACTGAGAGCGGTCTGAACGACCTGTGAAAACGAACATACAAAAGGAAGGAGCTATGTACGAAAGTTTAGCACAGATTAGAAGAGATGCGCTAAGAGACCTTAATTTTACTTTTAGGAAGATAGCGACTGGCTCGGCTGGCCAACGCCACTTTTATGGCGAGACTCAAGGCTTTAGATGAGACAAGAGTCAAAGCTCTATGTAAGGGAAAATAAGGGCAAACCATGGATTTGAAGGAGAGTCAGGAATCATCCTAACTACTATAGTAGAAAACTTCAAACAAGGTGCGATAAACTAGGTCCCGCTGACAACACGACAAATCTGCGCCAACGAGGTCACACTACTCAGAAGTGAAAAGTAAGGCTATGTGAAATCTCAGGGAAACATGAAACCTACTCATCTCATTGAAGGAAAATGCATACTTGTTGAGCTTACTTCCATTTCGAGTGAAAGTGTTTGGTGAAGAGATTAGAAGCTCGATTCCACCAGAAGATGACGACCAGCTGTCGATCGGCTTTACTGGAAGACTCAAGCTGACAGTGTTTCCGAGGTAATCTTCTTCGATTCCGGTGAAAAGTTGCTAAGCTTTCGTCCGTCATATGACGAACATCAACTGAGCAAGGAATCATCATCACAACCAAATTCAAGCTAATGAGTAAAGAAAACTCACCAGCAAATTCCTAAAAAGAGGTATATATACACTATATCTGGCATCTTTGATAATGTAATAAGTGATTTGGTTAGTTAAGGTCATATGTCAACCTCGAGGACTATGAGTGTGTCTGTCTCTGTATAAGCATTTGCCTGTTTGTGTTCGCTTATGCACGAAGGTAAAGACAACACATGGGAAAAAGGCACCTTACGTATTCACATTAGAAAAGCTATTCTTTATAAATCTAACGCTATTTTCTATTGAGCCTGTAGTATAATTATTCTCAAGCAGGAATGAATATAGAAAGCTAACGCATGCTGGCTTTATCCTTAACTTCTTCTCAAATCATACTTATAAAACAAAGGTTAGAGTTTTAAGATCTATGATTATTCGGAGCATAAGACTAGCCGATAGAGACCATTGTAAAAATGAACTGGATCGGCTTAAAAAAATATTTAGTGAGAATAATTATCACATAGGCTTGATTAGAAATAGTATTAGATTAATAAAGAATAGCTTTGTGAATTGTAAATACGTAAGAAGAGATAAGACCTTTTTTCATGTTTTGTTTTTACCTTAGTACAGTGGTCATCTTCTGGTGGAATCGACCTTCTAATCTCTTCACTATACACTTTCTCTCGAAATGGAAGTAAGCTCAACAATTATGAAATAAGAGACTCCTCGAAATCCTACATTTCTTGGCATATATTCAGTTGCCCTAGTTTGTTTAACTATCAGTCTTTAAATTACCTTGAGCGACTTTGGGTGATTAAGTTATTTCTCCCTTCATTTGCTGATTATTTGAATTGTTTTTGCTTTGAAATCTAATTATAGAACAATTCACACGTATAAACTTTAGGCTTCATGATGCATTTGAAATACACTTAGCTCAGCCCCGTAATGGGCTATCTCATCAATGATGGACTGCCGTTCCGACCTCCTCTGCATCCACTCTTTATCTCTTCTTATGTATTTACAATTCTAAAAGCGATTCCTTATAATTCTAATGCTATTTTCAACCAAGTCTATGGGATAGCTATTCTCAATAAATATTATTTTAAGCCGATCCAATTCATTTTCACACTGGCCTCTATCGGCTAGTCTTATGCTCCGAATAATCCTAGATTTTAAAACTTCAACTTTTGTTCTATAATTATGATTAGAAGAAGCTAAGGATAAAGACAGCATGCGTTGGCTTTCTATATACATCCCTGTTTGAAAATAATTATCCTATAGGCTCAATAGAAAATAGCATCAGATTAATAAAGAATAACTTTTCGAATGCGAATACGTAAGGAGAGATAAGAAGCCCTTTTCCCATCTTTTGTCTTTACCTTCGTGCATAAGCGAACACAAACAGGCACATGCACATAAAGAGATAGACACACTCACAGTCTTCCAGGTTGACATATGACCTTAATTAACTAAATCACTTTATACATGATCAAAGATGTCAGATATAGTACATATATACCGCTTTATATTAATTTGCCGGTGAATTTTCTTTAGTCGTTAGCTTGAATTTGGTTGTGACGATGATACCTTGCTATGATGATGTTCGTCATGACGGACGAAAGCTTAGCACCTTTTCACCGGAATCGAAGGAGATTACCTCGGAAACAACGTCAGCATGAATCTTTCAGTAAAGCCAATCGACAGCTGGTCAAGAGAAATCCGCCGTCGTCTTCTGTTAGAACCGACCTTCGAATATCTTCACAAAACACTTTCACTCGAAATAAAAATAAGCTCAACAATTATGAAACAATAGATTCCTAAAAACACAACTTTTATTTGAAAATACATACACCAATCCTTCAACGAAATACGATGAAAGATCGAGTGGTAGTCTCTAAAACATGCTTATGAAGCAAAAAATGATAAATGGCTTATTCAAAAACAAATGAGTAGACGGCTTTGCTATTCTATTTTGTCATGCCTCCCAAAAAATGCCCTTATTTAAAATGTAGTATAATTATGGCCTTGCCTAGGTCCTATCAATATCCCCAACGCAATCGTAACATGGAAATTTTATAAACCAGCAAAAACAGCCACAGCCACCAGTGGATTGGAAATTAAAGATGGAATTAAAAAACCTGTTTGTATCAATTGTTATAATAAGGCTGTTATATGAGGCGAACTTGTACTTGATATTAAAAGCGACAGAATAAGAAATTAGGCTCATCTTGAAAGTCATTTCGCCGGTGACCGCAACTAGTAATTGTGGTTGTAGCGGAATGGAAGCGCAACTCTCAATTGGAATTCGCATGCGGTGTTACTACGGGTCAGAGGTTCATCCTTGGTTATAAATTCCTATTGGAGGCTAAGATATGTGAAGTTTAATAGCAACGTCAGGTCTTTGCATATTTCAGCGTGTAAAATCCAACTATCAGTACTCACATAGCCCAAAGCGATCTAAGATAACTCTTTTTTATTAAAGATCAACTGGAAAGCATGGAAAAAAGCGAGGGCATAGATGCGAGTAACGAAGAGACTATCGTGTGAATGAGAGCTGAGGATTCAGCAATAGGAGAAAGCAAGTTTTCTTACTAAAAAAGTTAGCCTGTGACTTCGGCAAGTTACAACTCGGTACTAAGGGTAGCTCTATTCTCTGTTGATGCAGGCTAATATGACAGAGAAGCATCTCGAGATTTATCCGGACAGTTATCGAGATTGACAGAGAACACAGCATAGGATACGTTCCTCGAAGTGTCCATGAGTAAAAGACTTGGCTGCAAAAGTGAGATCAAACTAACTTCGTAGAGGCAACTGTCATCAAGGTAAGAGCTACATCATCCTGTTCACTATAATCATACTCACCAAGATTGTCTCTTGTTAAGTTTTAGATATTATTTAATGAATTTGTTGGCCGACGGAAACAATACTCTATTTATCGAGAAATATTACTGCAGTTCGAAGCTAATTCGTCTGTATTTAGACTTTAAATAGAAGAAACATAAGCGCCTACTGCATTTTTATAAGAAAAACCTTTATTAAGAATTACAATATTATTTACTGTTCTATCAAAACGTGCTATGTCCTCGGAAGACAGTAGATTTTTTATTGTCGCTTCTGATATAGTTTTATTGGCACATTCCATGCGGTTGGAGTAAGTCAGTCGATTGGCTAGACTAAGAATAGGCGCATTCATGCGGTACTGCAGCTTCAAGTCAACAACAACTTGCCCTGCTAATGCAGACAGTGGAGGCGAGATTACTTTCTTTTCAGACATTTTTGACGTAAGAGTCGATGCTTCCAATGTCATCGTTGAATCATTTGAATTAAGATCGTCGAAAGCATTCAACAGTAGAGTGAACAAACTCTGATCAAGTCCAAGCCGTCTGGAAGAACAGAGAAGAGTATGAAAAAGAGAAAATACAGGCAGAAATTTAATCTATGTATGCTCACACAAAAGAAACGCATTACCTCATGCAAAATAAATATGATAGCATTTTCACATATAGTCAGCTTGAGCTAATTATCACAACTTGGTTATGCTGTCAAGGTGAATCCAAGCAACATAGCTAATATTAGTATTAGAGTAGGGTTTCGAGACTACCAATAAATT